AATGAAACCAAAAGAAATGGGGCCTGGAGTTCTCTCTGAGCAAGATCCCCAGTCCTTTCAACTAAATCAGAGCCACCCCTGACCAAACTCCAACAACCTGGTACAAAACCCCTGAAGAAGAAAGAAACAAACAAAAGGAAAAATAACACTCAGTCAGCTTTAATGAAGAAACTCACCAAAAAGGATGTCTGTTCCAGACCAGAAGCAAAAACAAATGAATAAAAAATCTAAAGCCTGTTTCCTCGCCAGATGAAAAATGTTCCTATCGCCTGTGGTACACGGTCAAATGGAAATTATCTGGCAGAGCCTCTAAGGCAAATTGCTTAGGCAGCTGCTGGACTGCTTTCCAGAAAATAGCAGTCATCCCAGGGCCACAGAGCCAGGGGTAAGAGCCTCTTGGCTGGCTCCCCAAATTGTTACTGAACACAAATGCTGGTTTGTTTACCCACCACACAGGAGGGCCAATAACTGGAATGCCAGGCTTTTCACAAGGAAAGAGGTTTATTATGGAATGGCAGCCAAATGAGGAGAAGGAACTTAAAACTCAAAACTGCCTCCTTGATGGGAAAAAGGTAGACGTCTTTATCTGGGGCTTTAGGTAGGCGTGATGGAGCATGTGTGATGGTTTAGGTAGCAGACAGAGAGCATCTGCTAGGGTTTTAGGTATGGGAAGAGAAGCACGAGGCATTGTTGGTTGGCACCTTCCCACTAACCTGTGTTTGACCTTAAAGACTTAATTTCTTTTCCTTGGACTGTCTGGGCTTTTCTAGTTCGTTTTCATCATCAGCCTGTGTTTGGCTTTATGAGGCTGAATCTTGATGTCTGAAACTTGAGTTCCTGGGAAAGACAGCTCACTCTTATAATAAGGAGAAACAGAAAGCCCTGATTAGTTTTAAGCAACAATTGATTATGCTGAGTATGCAAATCTGGAGTAGAAAGGCTTATCTCAAAGTTTTTGCTCTAGGGAATATTTTAACTACTTTGTTCTCAGTTTCAAAGTGTCACTGTGATCCCCAAGGGGCTCCTCATTTTGCTATAATATTAGGCAGAGTGGGCACCTGCACCTCCCCCATGGTTGCTGGTGAGGGGCTGAGCATAACAGAAGTCATCCTCCTGGAGTTTGGCCCAGTCCTGAAGGAGCTATGGTCATGTAACCAAGGACACTTTGTGTCTGGCCCAAACTGCCACATGAAAGGTCTCCTAGGCATGGAGAGAGGAATCTGAGTCCTTAGGCAACTGATTGATGCCCGGGACCTCAGGCTCTAAGACAATCCAGTAGGCTCAAGTATCTGTATTTCTAAGGTGTCTCCTGCAAAGTGTCTTGTGACTTACTTGACCCCAAACCCACGGGTGGCATTAAGGCCATGCTTGGGCCGTAAACTCCAAGAGGCATAGTGTGTGGTAGCCAGGGCCTTACCAGAAATTCAGAACCAGAGACCAGGGACCAGTATTACTGGCAAGCTTGTGTTTTAATCCCAAGACCCTATGTTGTAGTCACCCCACTGGAAGGAAGCAGTTTTTCTAGTAATTTGAGAAATTGGTGTGGTAAAATTGACAAGAAAGATATGTGTCGTCTTTGAAGGTGTACAAAGCCAGGAGGTGTTATACCTGTTTTCAGGTTCAAGGGGGCCTAAAAAACAAAACTTGCTTTGTGGTCTCAGGAATAATTTGTCAGTCAGAGGACCACATGACATAAACCAAGGAATCTGACCAATTTGGCAGGCCCTTGAATCTTAAGAGAGGCAATGGCCCAGCCTCTGTGTTATAAAACACTTGTGAGAGACTTAAGATTTGGGTCACCTATTCTAAAGCGAGCCCCACAAAAAGATATCATCCACATGATGCCAAAATGTAGTGTATTTAGCTGTTTCATTCCTAGTAGTAGAGGTTGTGTGACATGGCCAGGCTACTGAGGTACCAAGGGAGGCTGGGAGAACATTGATTGAGTGCCCACATAATGAAGGAAAACCAATATAGGTATCGAGTAAAACATGGTAGCCCAATCAGTGCCAGCAAGGTAGTCACCAGGAGTCAATTGCATGTCCTGGATGACTTCAATAATGTTTGACAGGACAATCACATTTAAGTTACAATAGTCAACCATTGAGTCTTCACTCAATTTTGTCTCCCTTTAAAACTAGTGATAGGGGGGCTATTAAATGGAGAATTATTGTTTGAATTATAACATTTCCAGAAAATATATCTTTAGTAGAGGAACATTATTCCTCCATACCTTGTCTCAAATGACATTGGAGAGTATTAACAATCTTTCTGGTGGACGCCATTCCACAGGCTCCCATTTTGTGAGTCCCAACGAGAATGCCAGTGATTTGAGCTTATTCTAGGTGAGAACATGACATGTGAAAGATTCCATGGGTTCTGAGGGGAACACAAAACTGACTTGTGGAAAAAAAACAGAGCCTGTGGACTGCCATTATCTTCTGGTTAGAATAAGAGAGCCAGAAATGGACGGAGTGAGAGAACATGTAGTAGTCTTCACATATATTACTGTGGATGGGAAAGTTTCTGTGAAAAAGTTTAAGCCTGAAGGGATGGAATCATTGAATTTTCTGGTTAAATCTGAATTGGACTAATTCTTCTTTCCACTATGCAGCAGAAGTGGAGGCTCATGAAGGAGAGTCAGAAAGAAGAAGGGGCCAAGAGCAATAGCTATGCATGCAAGGAGTTAGATTGAAGCTTGAAAGCAGTTATATAAAGAGTGAAGCCTAAGTATAATGTGGCTTAACAATTGAGTGCAAATACCAAAAAGTTTTATAGGCAAAATAATTTTTACTGGGAAAATAACACTGATTAATCTCTTTTACATTGAAGTAGTCAGAATGTACTGTTGTCATTGGCTTTGGTAAATAAAGACAAAACAAGTAGTTTCCAAAAACAATCAGTAATTTCAATAAAATTCGTAGCTACTCTGTCTAGCCTCCTGTTTATTGCATATATTTAGGTTTTCCTGCTTTTATTCAAATAATTTATTTTTCATAAACTAATATCTTCCAATTAGTTCTTTCTCCCATCTGTCGTATATGGTGTCCTTGTCCTTTCATAAATGTTTGTCCCTTCTTACAACTTTTGAGAATGCTAAACCAAATTATTTACATATCATGCTAAATGACTCCATCGTTTTTATTCCTTCTTGTGTGAATTTTTTGCTATTTGTTGGGTCTGTTAGTTCTTTCTCATGGTGGTAGAATTCCTTATAAGCCGCAATATTGTTGATTTGAGGAACATTGTATTGTTCTTGCGTGTCACAGGGTTGTGTGGCAATTCTCATATTTCCAGGCCTTATGTCAGAAGTCAGGATGATTGCACTCTTCTTTCTGAACATCTAGTTCCCTGACATTGAAGCCAAATAGCCTAATATCAGTATAATTCTTTGGCCTTTTACTTGGACTATCTTAGCTGAATCTCTTTAAGGAATTCCATGATTACTCAACCGTTTTGTGTTTGGGACTGCAATTTCCATGGGCTTTTGCTGGTGAGGACGATTTTTGAGACCTTTAATTCCACAGAATACAATGAAGAAATTATTGACAAGCTTGGGATTTTTCCCAGTTACCACAGTTCTACAAGTACAAAGCTGTTTTTAGACATAGGTGCCATTCACAGACCACGCTGTCTCAGGCTTCATTTCTGAACCTTACTATCATTCCAGGGAATAATGGCTCTGTACCTTTGTGCTACTGAAAGCAAGTGGGGAATGAAATCCTTAAGTTTCAGGGCAAGTTATGAAAGAATTCTGGTATCTCTAAATGTTGTGCAGGCAGAAAATATCTAGCCTAAGAGAGCTGCCACAAACCTGCAGACATAAGCAGGTCAACTCATAGAGGGGTGTGGTCCCTTGTGGTCTGATTCCACTTTTCTTATGAAGGAAATACCCCCTTGGAAACCAATTCCCCCAAAGCGATTCCACATGATCTCATGTGATTAAGCTTGGAAATCTGCTAACCTAGTTCACCAAGATGTAGGTGATTACCAGAGAATGATCTCATCTGCTGTTCCAATGTACCTTCACAGATCTCATAATTATCAGAAAGACAGACATCTTGACTATGTGAGTGTCAGAGCCTTTTAAAAGTTATGTCATGAGACAGTCACAAAATCTGACTCTTAGCAGTTGCTCAAAAACTTTTTTTAATTAATGGAAATAAGCTGTTAGAAGGACTAAAAACTAGACCATATATTTTTTATTTTTATCAATAGACTCTATTTTTAGAGTACTTTTGGATTTACTTGAAAATTGCACATAATGTACAGAGTCCCTTACAGTCCCTCACCACACACCCTGCAACTTATGTTTTCCTTATTATTAGCATCTGGTGTTACTCTGGGATATTTGTGACAACTGATGAACCAATATAGATACTTTATTATTAACTAAAGTCCACTCCCTACATACAGAACAATTTCATCATCCTGATAATCCTCAGTGCACCTCTCATCCATCCTTTTCCGTCTCCCTTCCTTTTAATTCCTGGCAACCTTGACCTTTTAACTGTCTCTATATATTTTTTTTTCCCCAGAATGTCATACAGTTGGAAGTATACAGCATGTAACCTTTTACAACTGTCTTTTTTCACTTAGTAATATTCATTAAATGTTCCTCCATGTCTTTTCATGGCTTGATAGTTTATTTCGTCTTATCACTGAAAAAGATTATCCTGTATGGATACAGTTATGTATCCATATCCAATGAACCTCTATATAATTTGGCGATTATTAAAAGTCATTATAAACATCTGTGTGAAGGTTTCTGTGTGGACACAAGTTTTCAACTCAATTGGGTAAATACCAGTGTGCACAACTGCTGGACCATGTAGGAAAAGTACATTTAGTTTTGTAAGAAACTGCCAACCTATCTTCCAAATTGGTGTACCATTTTGCATTCCCACTAGCAATGAAAGTGAGTTCCTGTTGCTCGACATCCTCGCCAGAATTTGGTGCTGTCACTGTACTGGATTTTGGCCATTTTAATAGATGTGTAGTGGTGTCTCTTTTTTTTTTTTTTTTTTTTGCAATTCCCTAATGATAAATGATGTTGAACAACTTTTCATATGTTCATTTGCCATCTGTATATCTTCCTTGGTGAAGTGTCTGTTCAGATACTTTGCTCAATTTTTTCTTTTATTTTGTGAGGATCATCAGCCCTGAGCTAACATCTGCCAATACTCCTCCTTTTGCTGAGGAAGACTGGCCCTGGGCTAAATCTGTGCCCAACTTTCTCCACTTTACATGGGACACCGCTATAGCATGGCTCGATAAGCGGTGCGTCTGTGCGTGCCTGGGATCCGAACTGGAGAACCCCGGGCTGCCGTAGCAGAGCACACGCACTTAATAGCTTACGCCACTGGACTGGCCCCTATTTCACTCATTTTTAAAATGGGTTGACCATTTTCTTAATATGAAGTTTTAAGTGTTCTTTGTATATTTCGGATACTAATCCTTTATTAGACACAGCTATGGAAATATTTTCTCACAGACTGTGGCTTGTTTTTTCATTATCTTTACAGTGTCTTTCACAGAGCAGAACTATTTTTATTTTAATGAAATCTAACAATTCTTTTCTTACATGGATTGGGCATTAGGTGTTGTGTCTAAATAATCATCACTGTGCCCAAGGTCATCCACATTTTCACCTACATGATCTTGTAGAATTTTATAGTTTTGCATTTTACATTTAGTTCTATAAGTGATCTTGAGTTAACTTTTGTGAAAGGTATAAGGTCTGACTCTAGATTCATTTTTGGTATATGGATGTCTTGTTGTTCTAGCACCATTTGTTGAAAAGACTTTTCTTCTCCATGGGGTTGCCTTTGGTATTCTGTCAAAGATCAGGTAACTCTATTTGTGTACGTCAATTTCTGTGCTCAGTATTCTGTTCCATTGGTTGGTTTGTCTGTATTTTCACCAGTACCACACTGTCTTGATTGCCGTAGTTTTATAATAAGTCTTGAGACTGATTAATGTCAGTCCAACCCATTTGTTATTCTTCTGCTCCCATAAAGTCAGGATTATCTCTATGCATCTGTCTCTCCGATTTGGGGGTCTGTAATTTTCTCTGTGACTTCAATTTTCTGATGGATTTAAGGAGAGCTGCAGATTTTTAGTTTATCTTTTTTCCTGTTATGAAGGTGGAATTATTGACATTGTAGGTATTTACCTATGAAACTGGAAACCAGAAGTTTAGCTTTTTCAATATTATTAAAATTTGGCCCTATTTTGTGATCAGTTCTGAATTAAACAATATATTTTCCTGAGCCTTTCCCACTTCTCCATATCTTTTTCCTGCTTGAAGCACACCTAGGGAGTTTATCGGTATCATATACACTGATCTTCCTAGGAGAGTAAAATATATATACATGTATATATTTTTTAATATATTGACTAAAAAAATGTCCAAGGAGACATTGTAAAAAATAAAAGAGATCAACTGCAGCCTATCTAAAGGATTCAATCCGAGTAATTATGCACTGGGTCTTAACAACATTAAGGTTCTCTGGCAGTCATACATATGTGAACTAAAATCTGAGAATATATAGAAGAATAGCAGTTGTGTTAGATTAATACTTCAGTCAGTTTTGTTTTCCTCATTTCACTGAATAATTAGACATTTTGCTACTGGCTGGAAACTGACAACCACAGAAGAAAAATACTTTTTTTATTTCTTGGGTTCCATTTTGAACTGACTTACCCATAGAAACTTTATTATTTGTTTGAATTTATCATTGGTACATCTACTATCAGTGGAAGGAAATGACCCAAGACATAAAAAGTGTTATCAACTAATAACTATGCCCATTATCGAGATTCTGTTTGATGAAGTTTACAAAGCAGTTAACAAACTTAGTCTAATTCTATCAAATGGTCAATCCTATAAGGAATAATTAGTATCCCTTTTGTTTAGATAACTGCAGTGAAAAAGAGCTTTGAACATATTAATATTGCTGGACACAATTCAAGACACTCAAGCTATATCTTGTTTAATACACAAAATGCCTCTTTTATTGTTCTCTCTTACTCATGGTGATAAGAATCAAGATTCATAATGTTAAAAGAATGGATTAAGTCATCCAGACAATAAGGGAAGCTATAATCTGATCACAGTTCTGTCTGATTCAATAGTCCATGCTAAATCACACTAATATTGTTTGAGGCTTAGAAAAGTAAAGAGACATTACTCTAAAGTCATCAATTTGAACAAAGCAATGATGAGAAAGCCATCATCCTGTTGACACTATTGTTAATACATGAATATGTGTCAAAAAAGTTGTACCAATAAGCAAAATTCACCAAACAAGTACTGGTCCTATCATATAATCGTCATCTCCACACAATCACGTTCACTCATATGCACACACACCACATACACAGAACCTTTGCAGTGTAGAACATGTCTTCTCTCTTCACAGTGCCATCTTCAATTCTGCTTTGGATGGCCCATCCAATCTCCTTTTCATTAGTGTTCGAAAAAGCAGAATCAAAATGGCAAGACACAGTATCTACAGCTACTTTAATGATCTCCACAGCTTTGCTCTTAGGAACCTAGACGAAGAACCAAAGGTATTAGTTAGACATTATCAAGATTGAGCGAGAGCTAAGGCACAATCCTTGACTTTCCCAAAAATCAACTTTTGCTCATGTCTCAGGTTAGTGCCACATGTGCAGTGATGAATCCATGGCAGTTTGCCTGAATCTTTCCTCTTAAGTAATAAAAGTTGGGCATCCCAGGAACCCCTTCAATCCTGGGCAAACACTGGTTAATCACAAGCATTGAAGGCCGCCATGACCACTCTGGGTTCAATGATTTGCTGAAAGAACTCACAGGATTCAGCATAAAATTGTAGTCATGAATATTATTTGTATTGTGAGAGGTTACTAAGCAGAATCAACAAAGAGAAAAGGCACATTGAATGAAGTCTCAAGAAACATGGTGACAGCTTCTCATAGTCCTCTACCAATGTAGTCACACAAAAGACATTAAATAAAATTGTATATAAATTTTAAAAGTATATGTTTGTTATAAAATGTGATTTTTTCATATATGTATACATTGCGAAATGATTACCACAGTTAAACAAATTAACATATCCATCACCTCACACAGTTAATTTTTTTGTATGTGTGATGAGATCACTTAAGATCTGTTCTGTTGGACAATCTCAAGAAAAATAGCATATTATTATTAGCTGTATTCATCATGCAATGCATTAGTTTTCCAAAACTTATTCATCTTATAGCTGATAGTTTGTACACTTTGACCAACATCTCCCCATTTTTAAGGCCAAATAACTGTCCATTGCTTACCAAGTATTTCAGAAGTTTTCTTTTTTCAATGATATTGCAAGTTACTAGATACTTGGTCTAACTGCCCTCAGCAGGTCATGCTCTTTCCTTAGGTTTAGGGGCTTTCAAAGGGTTACCAAAGCTAAAGATTCAGTGGTATCCTAGACTATTCCTTCCCCTGAATTCCACTTTGCACTAGAAAGTAAAGAATTCCTGTCATCTGTCTCAAAAATGTGTCTTTGACTGTTTCCTTCTGTTTACAGATGAGAAAGTGAGACTCAAAGTTTAAGTACTAGTTCCTTGTCACACAACTAAATAGTCTAAAGACAAAATTGAAAGGCAAACTTCTGCCTTCCAGTCTAATGACTTGTCCACTTTGCTCCCTCTTATGTCCAAGGTCCAACCCTATGCATTTGCTTCAATCAAAAGTACATTAACAAGGACAAAGAATTGAAACCTTGCCCTAGAAGACAGTAGCTTATTTCCAGAAATGATATTGTGTTTTTCATTCAGGTTAAAGTCCCAAGAAGAAGGAGAAGTTAAAGGGAACCTACAGGTGAAATATTTATGGCCTCACAATCAGCAGGCTACCCCACAGGAGACCAGCAACTCTCTCCCATAATTTCTCATTCACCACATCTCCACAAATATTTCTCTGGATTATTTCTTCTTGGTGGGAGGAAAGATTTATTGAATTCCAGAAATAGAGAAATCACTCCCATTCAATCACCCTCAAGACAAAACAGCTGATAGTGTTCTTGTCAACTGAGTTTCATGTTTTTTGTCAACCTGGGAAATAGATTGAAACTGAAGGAAAACACAAAATAATCCATAGGTGACAACACGGCCAGACCCCAATGCAGAGTGAACATTGCCTACTTGGCTCTTTGTATATGGAATGGTTCTAGCCTGGTTACAAGAACCAGGTGAGGCTCCCAGAGTAACAAAGGAACTCAAGGACTTGACAATTCAGGTTTGCTTCCCCTCATACCAGGTCTATTTTCTTTTGAATCCTCAACCAAAAGACCACTATCGTTACCGCTTTAGGTTCATAGGTAGCAAATCACAGGACAAGAATGAAGTGACCATCATTTAATTCCACATGCCAACATTTGGGATCCATTGCCTGTTGCTCCTCTGTCTAAGCAGACACTGCTTTATTCTTCTGCCTTCACAGGTTATAGGAATAATAGGAAGAAAACAACCAAGTCCACTGTCCAACTGTTAGCAAATGGATTTCAAGAGGAGCAAGGTTAAAGCAGTAACCCATGGAGTGAGAAGAGATTGGAAATAGTTAACTTTGTTTTTTATCAAAGAGTTATCTTAGTTAATTATTATATAGTGATAAAGAAATCATTCATTTTTTACTCAGTACAAGTAAAATTGTCACTTAGGATGCATATACATTAGCAAATTAGTACAAGAGATTTGCTGAAAAATTATTGAACATATGTTAGAATAAGACCTCCAGATACCAATCTCTGTTTTTGATTTTGCCGGGAAGAAGCCCCTTCTTGATCATACATCATTTGAAACAATTAACTATCTTACAGAACACACATACACACACACAGACACACACACACACAATTTAGAGGAATGATTAATGACAATTTTTCAAAAAGTTGACCATCAAGAAAGAAATAAAACTTCAATTGAAAGAGTGTTTGCCTTTTTACCTCTACCATCAGCAAAATTATTTTTGTTTTTCTTTTATTTGCTTTATAAGAAGAGTATCCAGTCCTAAAAATGGTGCAATCCTGAAAAAGGTGTCAAAAAAGACAACCTGGCAGGGTGATTATCAGCATATTATTTGTTAAATTTTTGAATATTATATGCTCTATGCGAAAAGAATCTTAGAATGTTTATTATATCTTTCACCTAGTTACATAACATGTAGAAAACTATCACAATGAAACTAATGAGTATTTTACATAATTTATTATCTTACTCAACAGTATTCATGAAAGACTTAATTGGAAACAACTGAAATTACAATAAACTTGGGAATAGTTAGGGAAATTGTGATG